CTGAAATATGCATATACTTCTTTGTAATACATGGTTAGAAAATAAATGTTACGTTCACCAAGATCATAGAATAATAAAGATAGAAACAAATCTGATTTTTTTAAAATTAGAAAGTCAGGATGCAGAGTGGCAAAATGACTTGCCTAAGGTCAGAAACCAAGCTGATGGCCACAGGAGCCTAGAACACAGGCTTGTGGTTGTGTTTTCCTCGTTGTGCCAGTCTGCTAAGTCTTTAGCTTTCCAGAGAGAACAGCAGCAAAGATCAGGGACAATTAAATATCCTCCTGTGGGCCAATGGAGGACTTGCCTAACTGTTTGAGCCACATCCAAAGTATGACTGGTTCTAAATCGATCAGATAACTGATAAGGTTATAGATTGGTTGACTGTTAATTTGCCAAACTTAGTTTGAACCAACCCTTCACAGTAAAAAACATTGCTTTTACTTCTAAATCCATCCCATACAAATTCAACCTGTATAAGGAGCTTGGGGATGCTTTTCCTTTTCAATTATTTTTGCATTTTGGAGGAAAATGGCCTTCACTATCTTAAGTGATAGCAATTACTGGTTTTAATGCTCTTAATTTCATGTTGGCAACTGTCAACTGGGAAGAGCATTATTAGTACCTGCTGTTGGTCCTGCAACCACAGTAAAGAGTAGCTTTTTAATGTCTTGCTTGGGGTTAATAAGAAGGGGTAGAGCTACATTGCATGATGCTCATAGAAGTGAAAAACAAATCATCCTGAGCAAATGGCGAAAATTTCAGAAAACATGGACCACAATTTTATAGCCCTAGGAACAATACCTGAGAGTGAATAGAGAAGGTGGCCAGACAAGGGGTGGAGAGGACTGAGTGATGCAGAGGAAGAGCTGGGATAATTGCACACAGCAAGGGAAGGTATGGTGCCCACAGCTCTCTGGGAGGCTCAGAGAGCCTCGACGGTGGTGTAAATTAGTAAAGTGTACTGGGAGTGGGTGAGCAAGGGACTGATATGGTTAGTGAAAGTCATACCAGTCTAAGGGGTAGTGCTCACTACTAAAGGCAGAAGTCCTCACTTTGGATGTTCCCAGTGTAGCCAGAAGATTTTAAAGAGAAGTCAGAAAGCCAAATTTTATGTAAAATCTCTTCACATGTCAAAAACAAATTCATATTTTGAAGTTTGCATTAGAAAATGTATTTTTACTAGGTAGGTTATTTCAAATGGACTGACTCTGGTTTCTTTATTTGCTTGCCAGATGTTTGATCAGATCTGCTCAACACAAGTGCACATGTATCTGGATGTGTTTCATGTGCCTGCAAAAATATCCTCACACCTGCTTAGCAAACAGATACACACTTTCACAAAAGCATGGAATCAGGCAGGTAATGACGGGTTTTTCTGATCTTCTCATAAACGTTCTATGTATTGTGATTAGATACCTATCATGAAGGAATATATTTTATAGGCCATTTATATGTCTTTGCCTCTTCTCTGAGCTCTCCAGATTCTCCCTAGAAGCTGGCTATTTGACATCTTCTCTGTGTGCTTAAAAGGGATCCCAAATGCAACATGACTCAAGTAGGTCTTATTATTCCCATAAATACTGTCACCCCCTTTCCTGATCCACCTTACAATAAAAACGAGAAAGTCCATACCTCACTTCTATCTTCCCAATCTTCAAAAATGACACCAGCATTCATTTAACTATACCAAATATTTGTAGCTATTCTGATTCCTACATATTATTGTTTTACCTGGGATTCACAGTGTGTTAAAAACACACTATGGCCGAAAATTTCTGAGGGAAATGCAATCCATATGCTAAGGGTATCTGACCTTTGCCTTTGGTCTTCAAAGACACGGGCCATGGGCTCTTGCAAATAACAAAAGTATGCTGATTTTATGTGTATAGAAGAGAAGTAAGTACAAGCCAACCGCAGTGGGGATAGAGGTGGGAAGAGACCCTTCACCCGACCCCTTTCTCTCCTACACTGGTCTTCCTGAAACAATATCTATTTCACCATCAGGGTCCCTGACATTTTTTCACTGATTTCCTAGGTGTTGATTTCCCTTTTTTGCTTTTCATTTAATCATTATATTATAAAAGACTTAAAATGCAAGTATTAGGGCAAGGTAACATGCCAGCTAATTAGTCCATAAGTGTGATTCTCAATATCAGAGTGTTCTAGACAAGCGGCATAAGGAAACTGAATGTTTGGAGCAGGAGGACTGGATAGAAAATAGAGTTTGGGAACACGGAAGGAATACACTCTTCTCTGTATCATTGTCCATCATAAGCCATATGGAAATTTTAAATTAAAGCTGTGAAGGATGCCCTTTTGTCTTCTACAGTTGCAAACCTTCTCCTATTCAATAATTGTTCATCTTCTTAATTATTAACGGGTGACTACAGAGTTGGGCACTCCTAATACAGCAATGAAATACATGGCCATGACCTTCTTCCAGGATTGGTCAGTGAACAGACAGTGGCAACAGAAATGGCTAGGTGAATGCTCTTATGGAGGGGTTCTGAGGTGTCATGGGAGCAGCCCAGTGTCTTTGGGTTGCTCAACACATTTTCTTTCGTGTGTTTTTTTGTTCCTGTTTTTGTTTTGACTTGGCTAACTCTGTTAGGAAGACAGCTTGACCTCAAAGGTGATATATTTGAGTCTAAGTAAAATGAAAGCTACTTATTAAAATGTGCCTCTTTGTTCCCAGGTTAATGGGAGTCATCCTATTAGTTGAGTCCAGCCAACCAGACAACTACCTACAGCCTGTATACATTTATTTGGCATCTACATATTCAACCAGGATTTACCTGGCTGGGTATTTGGAGTATAAATGGAAATTATATACTGAAAAGAAAATGTCATCAATTTCAGAAGGTACTCATTAAAAAACAAATAAATCAAGGTAAGTTGGAAATTGTTCTTTTAAACAAGATATCTGGGATGCTAAGTTTTATTCTTACCTCATGAGCATTTCAGCTAGGCTCTTTGCATCTGGGGAAAGAAAGTTACTATTAGTACATGATAAATAACTCATTAGCATTCACTTAGGCCTTTATGGCAAACATTCTACAGAATCAAATGACACACCAAGATCACTACTAGTGACTTCAGATTTTATGGATTCCTGTCTTTCTACATGAGACTCATGTCCTTTTGTTTAATTGGGAAAAGATAGCATAGCTATCCTTTGGCCACTCACTCTCAGACATCTATTAGAGGTTTTACAGCAACCTGTATTTGTGACTTCTAGAAAACTCTACTTTTTTTCCTGTGCTCAGAAAATTAACATTTTGTAAGTAAGTCAGTTATGCTGTATAAGCCCACTGATCTTGTTATCAAATGTCAGAATTCAAAAGCTTATGACACTGTAGGTCACTTAAAACTGGCATTATTATAGAGCTCTAAGTCTCTGGCCAAAGAAGTGTATAAATAGCATATCATTGTTTCTAGAAACCTATTTGTTTTCTTAAAGTTCAGGAATAAACATTTCTTTATCTTTTTTTCCTCTGAGGATAGTAATTCTTTATTATTATTATTATTATTATTATTATTGTGAACATTCAATCACTGTGTATCTTTACAGCATACCAAATGAATTTGCCCATTCTGAGTACACGTTATATTGGCTCAGTCAAAGATATTACCATACATATTAACAAGAACAGATCATTTTCCATTTTTGTGTCCCTTACGTGTTTTGCTTCTTTCTTTTTCAAGACCTGATTACTACTCCTGACAGAAAAAAAAAAATCTTGTCTAAAAATGTTCTAGGAAAAAAAAAATCTACTTTTTTGGTTGCATTGTTTTGAAATTTTCGTTTCTCTTAAAATTTACTCTTTTTACATATTTTGTGCTGGCACAAATGAATGTTTCCATCCTTAGAATAGTAAAGCCTTCTTTTTGTTTTTCTTTTATTGCCCTATAAAAAGTCTTGATGTTTAGTGTAGAAATAAACAGAACTTTCTGGAAATGAACTTAGCTGACAATGTGACCAGCTCTATGGAGAAGAAATATATATGCTGGAGCATTCTCAGCTCATTCTCTTGGAGGCTGACATTTAAAGACAATTAGTTTCATGTTGGGGAGCAGCATGCTGTTACTGATGGATATGGATGGTCACAGAATAACCAAATGCAGGCTGGCATCCCTAGGAACCAGAGCTCCATTCCTCAAACCAGGCATGCTGTTCCCATTGGTAACGTTACACGAGGGCCCCTGTTTACCCACAGATGGGTTCAGTCTGGGAAATGAAACAGGTCCCTTCTATTCCACCCACCTAGCACAGCAAAGAAAGCAAAACAGCATGTAATTTCCTAGTTCATATTTTTATAGTCATCTGCAAAGACCAAATATAATGACTTCTCTTCCTGAATGATTGGACCTTGCAAAGAATATATGCACAAATATTAACTAGATGTTATATAATTATAATATGCAGTATATATAATTATATAAGCATATATAATTGCAATGCCAGAAGCTTGACATTAATTAGATCCATGTGACAGCAAAGCAGTGGCTAGTACAACACTCTAAAAAAATGCCCAAGAAATTCTAAGGAATAAACATTTCACTTCAGTTCACAGTGTGAAGCTAACTCAGGCTTAGGCATCTTCAGAATTTGTTGCTTTTTTTCACCTCACCCTTACAGTTTTTCTTTTTCTATTCTCGATTAGTCATCACAGTTTTTCCTTTTTCTTTTCTTTATTACATTTATATGTTTAAATTAACACAAAACTGTACACATTCAGGGGGTACAGTGTGATATTCCTATACTTGAGTACAATACGTAATGATCAATGCAGAGTAGTTAGCACATCCATCTCATCAAACATTTATAATCTCTGTGGTGAGAACATGCCAATTCTTTGTGATAGCTATTTTGAAACCCACATTATCATTAGCTCCATTCACTCTGTCATGCAACATAATGCTAGGACCTATTCCTCATATGTATGACTGTATCCATTGGCCAACATTCCCCACACACCTCTACTCCCCCATTTTTCCCTGCCCCGGTAACCACATTCTGCTTTCTACCTGTACGAGAGTAAGTTTTCCTATTTCATAGAATAGTGAGACCATGTGTTATTTGTCTTTCCGTGTGTGGCCAATTTCACTTAACATAATAGTCCCCACGTCCATCTTGTTGTGGCAAATGGCAGGAAGTCATTTCAGCTTCATCTCCTGCGATCTTTGCACTTCAATGTCCTAAGGACTAAGAGCCCGACAAGCCAAACTCCCCTGTACTGACACACCCCAACTGCAAAAGCTCCTTGTTTGTAATGAGTAGAAATATTACTGGTCATAATCAGAAAGCTTTAACCTGGGCCAAGTGGAAGCAGAGCAAAAGTGGCAGTGGGTGTGGTGGATACCATAAACTAGCATTGACAGGCAATCCGGAGTGCTCAAATGGAAAGGCTGGACACTGGGACCTACTGCTAGTTTCTTACAAGGGTCCAATTGAGTGACCATGTGTGTTGGATTAGAAGGCTGCAGTAAGAGTTATAGAGGGAATGTACAAGTATCAGAGACCTGCTATGTGTGTAGCAGATGGGGCAGAGGGGTTGCAGGGTGTTCAGAAAAATGTCATAACATGGGATATGTAGGGCTAGGTGTTTGCTAACACAAGTGACAGGATTAGGAGTTTAGAGAAACATAGAAGCTACAAAGCACGTAAGTTCAAATCTTCCTGTTATACTTAATGTCCCCAACTTTGTAATATCTTCTTTCTCTTACATTAAAATCCCTTGTTGTAATTTCTACCTGCATATAATGATGACACCTTCTAGACACATTTACAAGCCATTCATATATTTCCACGTACAATAGTTGCCATTTCTTTTGCTTAGCCTCAGCTTTCTCTTTTACAGGTTAAGTTCTCTGATTTTTTTTTTCAATCCCTCCTCATATAGCACATATGAGGGTAATTCCCTATTTGAGATTCTATGAAAGGCCTGTGATTTCTTATCACCATTTATTAAATGGGGCCTAGACTAGACACTGGTAGTTTTCAATATTCTCCTTCTAGCACACTAGTGAAAGCATGATGCTCGTTGTATGTGCTACAAATGAAGTGTTATAATGGATATAGAAGGCTTTACAAGTACCTCTACTAATTTTTATCTTCATTGTTCCAGCCTTTTAAAGTCTCTTAAAGTTTGGGTTTTTACCTCCAATACAATAGTTTTCCCATTTGGATGTGAACCAACTCAAGATTGGATCAGCCTGTCATTTCTTCAGCTATAGCCTGGTGTTCCCTATTAATCAACCCTGTCAAAACACAAATGGTGCGTCCAGGTTTTTGTCGGTTCCTATCACTTCCAGATTGCTCACAAACTAGTCTTTTTATAACCTAAACTAATTTATTTCGAACTAAAGTGTTCAGAATCTATTAGGTCATCAGGAAAGCCATGACTTCTTATCTTATGCAAAAATGCATCATGACTTTCCAGATGAGCCAATGCATTTTTTAACTAGTACAGAATATAGTAAGTTTTCTATACCTCTTTGCCTTTGATTGTTCAAAAATCATCCACAAAGTTCTTGAGATTATGTCTCAAAAATTTTTCTTCAGAACCAGAAGATGTCGTTAGGGTCTTGGAACTGGAGTCCCATGACACTTTTCCTGGTCTCCCCAGTGCAAGGAGGTCTCTCCTTTCAGTGAGACATCGTAGCATTTGTGGTGTCAACATTACACTGCTTGCCATTTGGAACATGGGTAATAGTCCTTGTCACTACTGTTTGCAGAAGCAACATATAATAACTAATATGTAACAGGTTTTGAAAGAATAAATCAATTCAAGCTAATGAGTACTCTGATTATTTCTCAGGCATCCTTCTCTCTCTATTTCTCTCTCTTTTAATTTGCTAAAGAGTACATGCACTCACTATACAGAGGCAGAAAGAGAGAGAGGGAAAGTGAAAAAGCACCCTTCAGGGGGAATGGTGACACCCATGACCTCTTCTCCTCCATTTCTCCTTCTGGGATTCTAGGCATTCATGCACATGTCTGGCGTGTTTTTCAAGTCACTGGGTCTGGGACTCAAACTGCACAATCAGTCACATAGGATCAATGTGCCTGAACTACCACATTGGTTGGTCTGTCTTCTTTTTTTCACTTTCTCTTCCCTCCCCTTTACTCTTCCCTTCTTTTTCTTTCTCCCTTTCTTTTTTCCTCTCTATCCCTCCCTATTTCTTCCCCTTCTTCTTCTTCTTTATAATGATTGGTCCAAATTTTTTGCTTTGAATAACATTTCTCCTGGCTTGTATCAAAGCAAAGCAGATGTTGCATCACTCTCCTTTTTACCTGCCATCTGTTAACAGAAGAACATCATCCAAAGTCCTATTTTTTTCCCTCCTCAAACACAGATAAATATCCCTTTGCATTGCCTGTCACATTTTTCCCCCACAAATTTCAGATCCACCTGTAATTTAGACTTTGTGACATTTTTCCTACAGCCCTTTGCTACTCCTAGGTTTCCATTCTTGGCTCCATGTTCCTCCCTTAGTCTGCTGGTTTGGGACATGATGGAGAAACACCACCGAGATAGCACAGTGATATTGAAATGTGGAAGAAAGAAGCTTCCAAAGACAATATTTTCCAGTAGTCTGACAGCTCACAGAGGGCAAAAAAATGATGACTGGAAAGAGAACGTGGTAATCTTCCCTTAGGAGAGCATTTTATTTGAATGGTGGATGAATGTGAGACTGTAATATTGACTTCTGAGAAGGAAAAATAATTATTTTTCTTTGTTTAATCTTGAACATAATATTTGCTAATAGCATCTCACTCTGGACTATAATATTTGACAATAGCACCTCACTCTAGACCCTCCGTGAGACTGCCCAACTCCAAGAAAATAGCACTATTCATCAAAGATGACATCATAGATGCATAACTAGGAAGTCCCTATTCCTACCCAAGATCCTCATGCCATCACATTCTTGACTTGTGCTTAAAAGCCCTGCTTGCCCCTCAGTCATGAAGA